AACTATGATATCTAAACGGCGGCTGGTGTTAATGTGGGCGACAAATATTGTGTCCCCGACTCAAGTTCAATAAGCCGGCTTCATCATATTGTCGAGTCGCAGGACGGCAAGGGAGAGCTGCGGGAGCTGAAGCTCCGGCAGCAGCCCTTAAGACGCTTTGATGGCGCATAAGTAAGGGCCAATGAATTATTCATGTGCTATTTATACAAAATCGAAATGATAATCGTTCACTTTAGCATTTAAATCAGTTCATTTTGCCGGCCGCTGGGGGCAGCACAGTTCCATCCTTCCTTCGATTGGAAGTCAACCTGACGTGGCTCCTGGCTCAAGGCTACGACAAATTTACATCTGAATAGGTATTACTTGGTTAATTTATGGGGAAAGGTGTCTGAAATATACGCCTAATATAAAACATTATTATTCGCAATGAAGTAAGAGTTTTTATCTTCAGTTTTCTTAAACATACAATTATGTTAAATCTTTAAAAAATACGAAATGAACTGAACTGGATCCTCAAATGAAAAATTGTTAAGAATAATCTGTAATAAATTATAAATATGTATGTATATTAAAGAAAAGACTTCCTGCTGTTTGGAGTTCTTACAATAACCGAAGCCACCATGTTGTTTCGCTTTACTGAGTAATTCGGGGATTTACAATAATTAACAGCACAGCTCTCTGTTATTCATTTTCGTTCGGATACATTACAGGGAAGAAATCGATTTGTTCTATATAGATATAGGGTATAGAAACCTGTAACAGTGAATCGAGAAACAACCTCTGAATATTGTTTGTACTTAGTCCAAAGGTTTTCTAATAGTTTGAATACCGCGAAACCCATCAGTCAGCTGCCACTTGGCATATGTGCTTTTTTTCCCAGCCACTTGCTCCTCGATTTGCTCATGAAAACTCAGCTGCTGTATGCCAATTGACATTTATGGCTTGTGCAAGCATGCAAATCCGACGATAACACGCCTCACCACACGCCAATGTGTGTTGGAGAGCCTAAAAAAGGCTGAAAAAAAACCCGGGTGGCACTTGAGCGACGGGGTGTGAAGTGAGTGCGGGCCTCAAGTTCCTATCTGCGCTTATTCATAACTGCAATTGCAACTCGTCCTTCGTCCTTCGTCCTTTGCCTCCTCCAGCGAGCCACACTCACGCATTGGCAAGCTGTCGAGCATGAATTTTTCTGTTAAATTGTCTTGTTGAAAGAAAATCGCACACACTTAATGCCTTGGCAGGGGATAAACCCGATTTGCATGTCACCGCCAATGTCAGCAGCGGAGTTGGAGCTGGAGTCGAAGGTGGGGCTGCTTGAAAGCAACTTGCATAGCTGGAATGCATTTTCCAACTGACAGTTGATAAACGACGTGCACTCAGTTCTTAGATTGTCAAGCTCACACACACACACACCACTGGGTGTGGTGTGGCAGGAAACCCAGAAATGGCAAGCCGGTGCTCGAATGAGTGGAGCACACATTCTCCGTATTATTTCAATTCGCGATGAGTGCTGGGTGCCGGGTGCTGCGGGTGAGTGATGATTGTCAGACAAACTCCGACTCCACTACAGCTCCAGCTCCCGGCTCAAACTCCACTTCGGCCCACTTGGCAGGAACGGTTGCTGGGCTTATCGCACACTTGTTGCCCGGCTTTGCATAATTTATGATCTTTGCCGTAATTGCTCTATTTTATGTCTCCAGGCAGCTTGGATTTAAAGGAACAGCCAGCCCCCCGCACTTGTGCCCACTCTCCGGGCTCTTATCTAGGCGGCGGGACACAGGACTTGGCCGCGGCAAAGACTTTGGCACTTAAGCCCTTTAAAATTTATGTCAAATGCATTTGTAAAATACGGCAATCGTACGAGTGGTTAAACCGATTTCTATGCCATTTAAAATGCACAGTGTTTCCAATACGGTTTAAAATGATTGAATTTGCCTTTACAGGGCAAGTTCTTAGTAGTTTTAAGTCATGTCTTTGCCTTAATTGTCTCCCTTCTCAAAGAAGTATTAAATATATTTACTTTCTAAAATTTTCCATCAATTTATTTGCAATTTAACTTAAAATGGGAAGAGTTCAGACTTTAATTAAACCAATAAAGTTATTTTTGGCTATCAATATTCTGCTACCTTTGAGTCCTGCTATTTGAAAACGTCCCAATGTGCCGCAGCAACGTCGATTGTGAAGGACGAGGGCAAATACGGAATGTGGCAACAGCGAAAAAATCTTGGAGCATTTTTGTGCAGTTGGTCGTGGGAAGTATTCGTGCTCCGAAAATGTAATTTCAGAGCACGTTGGTGGTCCCAAGTCTTGCTCCTTTCTTTGTTCTCCGCGGCAGCTCTTCGACCACATATGCATATAAGTTGCAAATTCTACAAAATGGCGACAGCGGCCCCATTGCCTTCCCTCGATATGTGTTGTCTTTATCAGTTTCGCCATCGCCGCCGATGTCGTCTTTGTTCGCCATTTCGTTGGGGGACTCTGGCTTTCAGCTCGGCTCTTATAGAAAACACATTTGCGACATTTTGGCCGGTAAGCACTAGGAGGTAGGGAGAGCCTTAGCTCAGGTCGGTCTTTCATCTTTTATCTTATGCAAATAACGCTGGCTGCATGCAGAAGTACCTGACGCCACTCGAATGGCAGGTGAACCTCCGCAGATAGGCAGGTGTGTGCACTATTTGCACACGAGATAGTGCGCCCCGAAAATTTGGTCACGAAGTGCTGAAAATATTTGCGGGCATTAAACAAGGTACGGAGGCACGAAGGTGGAGTTGTGGGCCAAAGGCGGGATCGCTCTTTAAATTCCCATTTTTATATCGGGACGTTGCAAAAACATTTCACATGCATATGCCGCAAATCAATACGCACCTCGATACAAATATTCCACTGCCACACACAACGTAAACTCGTGTGTTGTGCAAATAAAATGGCACCAACGAGCACGCACCATATTGTATTTATGTAAATTTATTTCCGTTACATTTCCGCCGCTCAATTGAAAATCGGCAAGTGATTTCCCATTTTTCTGTCTCTCCAGCCAATATTTCCTCAGCTGTAGTTGTGTGCCCAAGCAGGAGTCGGCTCCAAAAAGTATTTAATATAAAAGAAAAACGGCAAATTTTCGTTCTCGTAGGCTTCGAGGTCGATCTGAATAAAAGATGTTCCTGCCCAACTTGCTTGGATTTGTATTATGGTCCATTCAAGGAAGTCAATTGAGCAGAGAACCGTTATAGAATATTAAATTCTCAAATATTGAAAGATTTCGGAGCCGCTTTTTGGCTCTTGACTTGTGATTTAAGTTTTGAGACATTGGTTTTGTAAAGTCCAGCCAGTCGGGGAGGGAAAGAGGCCTAATATCAATAGTTCCTAAGGCAGCTAAGTTAAATATTTTTCAAGTGAGGTATGCTTATAAGATATATATATTAATATCCTCCTAACTTAACTTAACTTTTCCTTATTCAAATGTCTTGTGTTAAATTTAGCAGGCTTAAGAAATTGCTTATGCACATACTCTTAACAAAATATCTATTAGATTCTTTTGGCTGTAATAATTAGATCCATTACGATAATAAGGTCAGTTGCAGCCAATGTATTCAGCTGACTTTAAATTTGTCTATTGTTCAGTTTTCACGTACGTCAGGCTGATAATAAATGAGACCAGTCCGTGGACAAATAATGATAATAATTATGCTCTCATTTGAACTCGGCCCTCGCTGTTCGTTATTCGTTTAAAAGTTTAATTTAATTTGGTTTCAAACAGCTTTCTTTGCGCAGTAAAGGCGGGCGGGAGGCGGGGAAAAGATGTATGTAAAGTAGAGCAGCCAATTTAATTTCCTTTTGGCTTATTGTCCTATCTAAATTGTTTGGCTCTTTTGGCTTTTGTTGCTGCTAAAAGCCAAACAATGGCCGTCTATTGTTTGCCGAACAAACTCAGACAAAGGGCAAACTTTTGTCTCCACTCCGGAGTCGCTTAGTGAATTCCAATTTATATGGACACATGTTGCAGATGCAAAGGAAATTACAGAGTTCTCACTGCACATTTCGCATGGCACTGGCTTAATTTAACGTAAAAAGAAAGCCGGTATCGAATCATCTGCGCCTCATAGCTCATTATCTGCGTCCTCTGTCAGACACCAGACAATGGAGCACTCCCCTCAAAATGTGCACTGCGTTGTTGTGCCGATGCCATTCCTGCCCATGGGTTTAATTTCCTGCAGGCCGCAAACTATTTGTGGCATAATGTGACCCGCTGACGAACTCAAATACCATTTACCATTCACCATATTCGGGCCGTCCTACACTCGGACAAACCCATACGTTGGGCGACTTGTCGGCCTGGGGGCAAAGTTTACGCCACCAGATGCAGTGGCTGGCACTGCTCATCGTGTTGCACCAAATGTTGTCTAATAATCCCAGAATTTACCCGAACTTGGTGGCCACAAACTTTGGACCGACTGCAGCACAATGCCAAGGAAGTTTGGCAGAGTGTAGCTCGGCCGAAAAGGCCGTCCGAGCCCGAGGATGTGGCAACAGCCCGGCAACATTGGCACATTCATCATTTTCGGGCCTGGCGCCATGGCCCAGGATCACATCCAGCATCCACTATCCAGCAGGAGACAGCAGCTGTCGCCGCGGCAACTTCTTGTCACATGTCACGTTGCCGGGCTGCCTTCAGCAAGGAAACAGGACGTTGCGAAGAATGTGAGAGGCGCCTGACACTCTGCATCCTTTTGGAATTTTTCGCAGGCAGTTGAAAGTTTTTGGGAATAAAGGAAGAACTTAAAGCGCCGCTTCACCACAACACTAAACTTTAGCAGACTGAGGAAATTATGTAAGACGTGCTTTATCTTCACTATTATATATTATATGTTTTAGTTAAGAGCTAACTGACATCAAAGAGCATCGAACTATATAGTTCTTTCCTAAAATCCTTCATATTTTATGTGAATTCCTGAAATTGGAAAATAATAGCCCAAGCTCTAAAGAAAGCAGACACATTTTTGTAGATTTTTTTTATATTATATTTATTTTTTGTTATTCAGCGGATCATATATTACAGTTCTGTATCGAGTCCTTAGTCGGGCGGGTTTGTGATTATTGCATGGAATTCTTAGGCCTTGTTGCCCTTGCCGGAGCGCCTCTTGATGGAAGTGCGCCTTCGAGCACCGGCACGACCGCGACGGCCTCCACGACGTCCACCGCGCCTGCGTCCTCCGCGGCGACCTCCACGGCGACCTCCACGGCGACCACGGCGACCTCCACGGCGACCACGACGACCGCCGCGACGACGACCGGCACGAACAATGCGGCGGGCACGGGCATCATCCTTGTTGGGCCGCACAATGGTGTCCTTGTCGTTGGTGGTGGTGTCTTTGTTCTGCTTGTTGTCGGTGCCGACGGCGGCATCCTCGCTGCGACCCTCCAGCTCGCTCCTGTCTTCCTCCTGCTCCTGGCGCTCGAGTTCCTGCTCCTTCTCCTGTTCCTGGGCGGCCAGCTCGGACTCCTCCTTGGCGACCAGCTCAGAGTCGCGGCGTGAGCTGAGCACTCGGCTACGTTGGGCCGCCGCCTCGCTGGTGGCCACCAGGCAGCAGAGCGCCGCCAGGGCGAATATGAGGGAGTACTTGGCTGCCATGTTCTGATCGGTTCAAACTGTTGCTTGTGGAAGGCCGAAAGTGGTTGTGATGCTTTCGAGGTGCACTGCCCTGGGTTTTATACCCACTAAAGATCTGCTAGAACCCTATTGAAGAACTCCAGTAAGCTCCATGGGCATCTGTTCAAATGTTTTCCCATTGCAAGATGTTGCTACACACACCTGCCGGTGTATACCTGCCAGTTTCCACCCATTCCCTGGCCCGTTTCAGCTGTGTTTGCCGCCCCCCACCCCCACCGTATCGATGCTGTTCGGCTATTAATTTGATCTTTTGTTTGCCCTTTCGCCTTTCAACTGCATCGCATTTTCCGGCTCCTCTGCTTACGCTTCATTTCCTTACAAATTGCTTGCCCTCCGGCTGGCTTCCTCCGTTCCGTCCGCAAATAATTGGTTTCGACTGGTGCCCTAACCATGTGCTAACCCGTTGGTCCGCCGGTCCATTGGTCCGCTAGCCCCGCTGGCCAGACGGGAAATATCATTTAAAAAGAATAAACGTAAATAATCGAATTGTGCACAAAAGCGTTTTAGCTGCGCTTTCGTTTGATTTAGCCGAGCACGGTTCCAGGACGCTTTCCCCTCTGGCTGTGTTGGTAATTCCACAGGGATTCCGTCTGTGGAGCTTCCTGAATCTGCACTGCAACAACTTGAAAGAGGGCAGAGGAACATGAACAATAATTAGTTGTAATTGTAATAATAAAGTCTGATATTTCAGTCATTCTGTTATTTATTTAATGTAAAAACAATCAACCAAAATCGAATCAAGAAATTGCTTAAAATTGATTCTTTATTGTCATTATGTTGGGATTTATTAAGTATTTTAATTAAGCTATCGACAAGTGTATCCTCATTTCATGTGTTTAAATATAATTTTAAAAAACTTTCCCTCAAATTTTCCGCACTGTACTCCACTCCACGTAGACCACTTACAGTCCGCGACTTTCAAAAAGTGCAGAGCAAACAGCTTGAAGCGATTTAGTTGCGCGTTTAAATGAATTACAAATTTGCGCTCTGCCAGGAGCTGGCTATGTGGGCGGAGCAGGAACAGGAGCAGAAGGCTATATATGTGTTTATCTTTGGATATCGGGGATATTTCGGGCAACTTGCCAGCAATCAAACATATTTATTGCGCTTAAACGCTTTACCAATAATTTCTGCTTCGGCAGCTGTTGGCGGAACCGGAAGACGGCAGCGTGGCAGCGCCGAGGAAGTGAAGGTGGAGCACGTGCCGCCGGAAATCACGTGGCCGACATTTGTCGAAATGATTTTCAATTACTCGGCCTAAACAGCTGCCGAGAATGAGCTTAACAATTTCTTAAAAACTTTAAATTGATGAGGGCTGTGACATGCGTTCAGAATTTGAACCATGCAGTGTATTTATTGGAACAAATCGATCTGGGATTTGCAGAATTCCTGTATGGGAATGTGCTTGAAAAACTAATTAAAAAGCGCTTAGTATGTAAGCACGGGATTTTCAATTTCACTCAACAAAAGAGGGCTCGCATGTCCCACTGATAGTGACCGGATGTCCTTGTGGCGACGAGCTGCATTGTCGGCCACAGCGGACAGGTCGCCAGCAATTTCATGGTCATGACTGCAGGGAAAGGGAAACACACATACGTATTCCTGGCCTAAGGTCTCGACGGAATACACAGCAAGAAAAAGAGCAGATTGTGTATACCGTTTTCTAATCTTTATACTTTATTAAACGCCTTAAAGTTAGGCAAATTTATTTGGTAACTGCAACTAAATAATACTGACACAAGTCAGTGCCGGTCCCAGATCGCAGATCACCACTTGGCTGGCTCAAGAACGTCTGAGATGGGAAATCACTGGCTCCAGGCCACGCTCTGACAGCTGAGCCAAGCCAGTACTCTTTCGACCTTTCCACATTCGCCCAAGTTATTTGACTTTCTCCGGGTGCCCACAAAGGCCCCGAGCAGCAAAAGGGCAAACATGGGGGCCGGGCGACAGTTGCTGGCCCCTTTTTCTGGAGCCTTGTTGCCAAAACACTGTACTACTCTGGCTTGTGCCATTGTCTCACACGGCGATTCCCCCTTCAGGACCAGGCTCTGCCGTGTGCAGCTGGGGGCCAAGAGCGTGTCAGAGTTTGCATTAGAGCCTGACATGCCTGCAGGGAAAAAGGCAGGAACAGGACGGAAAAAACGCACTTGAATCTTAAAAATCGACCAGGAACAGAAACAATTTCCCAGCTGTGGCAGTAAAAGTTCTGATTTTGAGTTGAAATATAAATAAATTAAGGTCTTTCTTCCGTCATCTTCAGATTTATAAGCTGAAATAAGTTTTTAATCAAATTTAGATTTTATAAAATACATATCCCAGGTAATAGCTAAGCACTTTACCGTTTTTTATAGCACACATAAAACCTAAACCTTTAATTTTACTTTTTTTCTTTACGTGTGCCAGGCAGCCAAGTAGGTAAAGGCCATTGATGTGTGCTGGTTGTTGTCTCGAGTTGATTGAGTTTTATGCACAGTTTACTCCCTCTCCAGCTTCGCAGTGTCGCCTAATAGCCAGCGGGCTAAGCACACGTGCTGTACATCCTTAATTTGACTGACGAGCTGGGGGCTCCAGCTCCCAAATCCCAGCTCCCAACTTCCTCACCACCAGGAGTTTCCCATATTTTTAGCCAACTTTAAAGCAAAGAACTGTCGTCTAAGCTGGGAGCGAAGAGTGTGTGTGCAACTTAAACTTGGCCAAGTGCTTGCGAATGGAATCCTGTGCCGGCAGCCCACTTGTAGGTACTTCAGCGTCATCGTGGCTCATTGTAGTCTGCTCTCTGCTCTCGGTGCTCACCTTTATTTGCTCAACGATTTATTTATTCAAAAGCACAACAATTTCGCAAATCTCTCTCTTTTCTATATATTGGTGTGTTTATTTATTTATCTGGCTTTTAGCTAAACTTTGAGTCTGGTCTTTTGTGCCAAGTTCCGTTTCAATGGGCTCAGCTCGAGTCGTACTTTTGGGCCATTCATGCTCTGTCTGGCATAATGTGTTCCCCCGGATTCCTTGGTCTTTCGCTCCCGACTTGTTAGCAAGTCATTGCTTCTATTTGACGTCATTATAATCCGGGGAGCAAACATACTAGCAGGGAGCCGAGCGCCACAGTCTATGCAGATAATGTCCGTGGATTTCTGCTGCTGCTGGAGGAGTAATTCAAAATTTGATTGAAAACAGGCCGGAGGAGGGGGGGACCGAAAAAAAAGTGCATATTTTATTCAGCAGAAGCCTTTCCTGTCGCCAAATAATCGATATTTCCCCCTGCCCAGCCACCGCATTTGCACTTTTACTTCCCTCGCTAAGCCAAGCCCGAGCAACACTTTCAAGTCGGCTTCAATTACACAGCCTTGACAGCCCAGCCCAGCCCGGTGCTCCGGCTGGAAGAGCAAATAAGTGCTTTTCTATTTGCCATCGCCTTTTGTGCAAATTCTCGGCGCTTATGCAAAAGACGACGGCGCCCATTATGCAAGGTAATCGAAGCGCAAAGACCGAGTTGCTGGCCCAGAATCTTCTACTCTGTTTCCCGTCGCTGTCAGTGGCGAAGGCACCGATTCGGATTTCGAATGGACTTTTCCGGACCAACGGCCAAGGCCAGAGCCATTTAATGCATGCGGGGATGAAGACCTAACCGAAAACCAAGTTCACCACATCGACCCTCACCCAATGGCCCCTGGAATTAGGCAACAAAAATTATGATTATGATGTGTTCATTGTTTTTATGCGGCGCTCTTTTCCGCTGGGGCAATTTGCCATACTCATACTGCGTGTGTAACAGACAAGCGTGTGTACATTTCGACGCAGGCACACGTGTAACTCGTACTTGGCAAGTGCTTACAAATCGTCTTTTGCTCTTTTCTCGATACCCTGTAATGTGGGGGTATAAGGGAAGAGCCAGCAGGAATCCAAAACCTCTAAAAGTGTTAAAAACAACGAAAGGCATTAATAAACACTTGTTCTTTCTGCTTGAGTTTATTTTATAAGGACTGCTAATATATTATTTATATAAATCTTAGCAGTAAGTATTATATTTGGGGGTAAAATGAAAAAGCGAGCAGAAACGATGATTAGAAACTAAATGTTTTATTCATGATTACTCTAATATTTAGTTATAATATTTTTGTAAATCCTTATAAATATGGTATTGTTTTGTATATTTTTGGATTTTCAATTATAGGGTACTAAGCCAGTCCACCCAGGGCAAGCCTATAAGATTCCATATGTTGTTTTTGTGTTTTGGCACCCGAGTTTTGTTTACATTTCGTGCTGCTAATCACATGCAAATCCTTTTAAGTCGCAATGACTTTGTGACTTGAGCGCATAATAAGCTCATTTGCAATAGAAATAAGTACACCCGCCGACATCCGCGTGTGTGCGTGTGTGGTGTTGGGGGTGTGGGGTTTGGCGAGAACAATATGATTCTGTTTGTGTTTCGAAATAGCTGCAGGTTATTTGGCGGGACCTTTTTTGCAACTCTGTTGTTGGCATTCACGAGGAGTCCCTGCGTGGAAACTCTGGCTTTTATTTATGCTCCTTCGGTGTGTGTGTGAGGGTGCTTCTCCTACGCACACCCATACGTTGGCATATTAAAATATGAATCTAATGTTCATTTTATACGCGTAATTTACGCTGTGAGGCATTTTAAGTGAGGCGCGCAAGCTTCATTTGCACTCGTCCTGGCAGGAAACTGATGAAACTCCGGGGCCAGAACCTCCTCGTCTGCTGGGTGAGAATAATGTTTATGGCAGACTTGCAGGCTTTAATTCCAACAAATTCCCAGTAACTTGAAGAACTCAATATGGCCAATTATTTAATAAATTAATATGCATGCGTTAGCAGTAAATCAGCATTTTTACTTTACTGGCAATTAGAAATAATAATTTAATTTAATTGGCACCGTGCGATTCCCATCCACTACATTATGCGGTGCGTTAAATTTAATAAAAGCTCGCAGCTACATGGCATTTAATTTGAAATATATATGATTTATGTGGCATCGGCGGAATCCTTTCAGGCAGTCGCCCCC